TGAACGGGTTAATACGAGTTGACTTTCTTTGAATTACATCGAAAAACGAAATGTTTTCTAACTCAATAAGACGTGCTCATAATTGAACGGGTTAATGCGAGTTAAATTTGTTCGAATTACATAGAAAAACGAAATGTTTTCTAACTCAACAAAACGTGTTCATAATTGAACCGATTTATCAACGTAAAAGGACCTGAAGCAACGCAAATTAACGAAGTTTTTTCTTAGGGCGAAAAAATTCGTCGGTAAATGTACGGTGAAAAACGGATGAAGAGTGCGTGAAAACGTCGTTTTATTTTTAGGGATGCGTGAAAACAGCGTTTTCACAGATTTCAAACGCGTTTTTACGCGTTTTTTTGAGGGTCGTGTCTGTCTGGGTAAGAGGACAAACGAATATTCAAAATACATAAATTGAGAACGGTAGTTGTAGAAAAAAACATTTCATTTCTTTTTCGCATTCATTATTATGGCATCCATTAATATTTTTCTTATGCTTGTTATCGTCACTAAGATTCACTCGTTTGTATTGAGGTATGATGAAGATCCGCTATCTCATAATGGAAAATCTCAATCACCCATTTTTATCGATCTCTCTCAAGCCAAGTATGTTGCATATCCATCATTTGTCTTTTCTGCTGGTTATCATCAACCCACGTCGTTTCGAGTATTCTATCATAATAGTGGAACAATTTCGATTAAGCCAATTCTCGTCGATTCGACAACATTAGTAGTTAGTGGTGGTTGTTTGTCAGGTATATTTACATTTCAAAGCGCTCATCTTCATTGGCCAAAGTCAGAGCATAGATTCAATAACAAGAAATATGTAGCCGAAGCTCATTTTATTCATAAAAACTTAGATACAAATGAGACAGCTGTTTTCGCTTATTTTTTTACTTTAGTCAATTCTCAGTCACAACAGAATGATGACAAGATAAATAGTTGGAACTTTGTTATACAAAGATTTACTAATAATACTAATATGGCAATTGCTGGTGGGTTGTCATCATTTATGAAAGGAAACAAAGATCAATTCATTCACTATATAGGCAGTTTGACAACAAAACCTTTTACTGAAGGTATCATTTGGATACTTGTGCCAAGTGCAATGGAATTAAGCGATAGTTCGCTCAATCTTCTTCGCACAAATATCATTGCAAGCAACTATCGATTGATTCAACCTCTCAATGATCGTCCAGTTTACCGTAGCTTTCCTTCAACTTCATAGAATACGTAATAGATGTTTCCTTTACTTGTTTGAATTTATATCGCATACAGTAATCATTAAAAATAAAAGGCATTGGTAATTTATGATAAAAACACACTTCAAAGTGGGCCATGAATATGCTTGCAATAAAAATATGAATGTTTCCACTCTACTCGAAAGTAATGAGCTGATTTTTTTATTAATGATATAAGAATGTTTAAAGTTTGTTTTTCTCCAAAAACAATCGTTAAAAATACTGTTTTCAATTGTCCTTATATGTTTATCTACATTCATTTGCTTCATCTACGCTCACACGCTCGATGTATTACATATTTGTCAATATACACGATTGTAGCCATTTCATTTTGATTTTAATAAGCACGTACACAACAGCATGGTCATGGCTAATTCCTTAATATGCTATGCTTTGCCATTCACTGATCGATTTATGAACATACAAATATCGACAAAACTATTTGATTCATTATCTATTTCTTGCCAGGATGTTATAGAAGCTTCATCGAACTCAATTCACTTGTGGAAATTTTTTCTTGGAATACTGAGCTTCATTATTTGATTGTGCCTCTTTGTACTCTTTCTGGATGAAATTACATGTCTTTCTTGATGTATTCTCAAGAATAATTCATTTTGGAAGGTAATTATGCATCTATGTTTGTACTCAGAATATAGTCAATGAAAAGGCATAAAGTATACAGATGAAAAGCATCGAGAAACGGGAAAAAATTGGATAGGTTTTGTCGTACATCGTTGAGCAGACAAACAAGAGAAGTGGATAAACACAAAATAGAGATAATAGAACAGAGAAGAAATTATCATGGCCATTTATCTTTTTCTTCAGTTCTACTAGATGATAAAGAATTGACAGGTTTCTCACATATGATTGCAAAGTAAAGTTCATCTAAGCAGCATCAAACGTTATTCATGTGAATATTTCTTTTTATATCGTTGACTTGACGTTTTATGGGGCATTACTGTTGCTGGATTCACTGCAACAGCACGTGATACATCACTTAGAGAGAATTGTAAAAACTTCTTCACCTAATGCTCCACGAATAGCGATCAATTTGTCTCCGCTGTCTCTGTTGTTTCTCACCTGATTCAACTTCCCAGATAGTGTTACGAACTTAAATAGTCCTATTCTGGTCGTAACGTCTAGCAGATGAAACAGGATAGTATTTCGTGGCACACATAGAAGAACAATGTAAAAGGCTTCAACTTCATCGTAAAACATTCTATTGTCATTATATAAGGTGAAAAGATATCGCCGTCAATCATTCAGCTTAGATAACTTAGTTTAACGTTTTAACCATTTTACTACATGTCATAAAGCCATAAGTACATGAAGTATATAGTTATGTGGACATCACGAATCACTACAAAGCCCAGTTCAATTATTGATGAAAAGCAGTTGATGATTGTGACTCGAAGACGCACAGTTGTCGATTGATAATCATCGATGGATCTTTGCTGACTACGGAAGCAACCGATGAATCTTCTAAAAAAAGCGTAGGTTATATGTAAAAGCCAAAAAAAGCTAATAGATTTTTGAGTTTTAAAAGCTCCCGCTTATCTTCACTTGAACCAATAATAAATAATAATAGTGATTTATTTCATAAAAACAAAATTCCATTTTTCTATTACAAGTTTCGCGTGAGAAAAGTAAAAGATCAATAAACGGAATTACTATCTACGAGACTAACCACCACCAACAAATCTAAAGAACAGTTTACATGCATTGTTAATCGATTGCATCTCATACTTCTAACCAATAATTTTATCTGAAATGCAACGATCAGATGGACTTGGTGGACGAGATACAGGACCAGAAGCGCATTTATATCCT